ACTTGTGCCAAAAAAAGAAAATCCTGCTTCTGGTAGCTTGTTCAATGTACATCCTCATCAAGTTAGTGTAGTTTAACAGGAGATATTAGCTTTTAATGGCACTTAATTGTCCAAAAAGGAAATCCATAACCACATAAGGAGAAAAGTCAAGTATTTCCAAGCTCTTTATAAGAACAATTTAGAGCAGACAAGTGCTTTTCAAACCTTGGCTTGAAATCAGTCCGGTCTGGTCAGGGTGAGAGGTGGCCTTCATTTGTAAGCCTGCAGTGCCACCATTTGGCCATCATCAAAACCATAATCAAAACCTGGCAGTCCAAGTGCCAGAACTGCTTCGTCCTGACACTTGGCAAAAAAACCAAAGACACTACTATTTTATTTTATTTTTTTAAAGAAATGGTTTCACCTTAAAAAATAAAGGCCTGTAATTACCCCCAACCGAACACACAACCAGACAGCATAAAGCCATAAAATTACAATAAATTATTTTAAAATTTGGCCACAACGAACTATTTCCAGGTGCAGAATTAGAGAGGGAAGTAAACAACCAGGCCCACTGTTGTTAGTGATGGATTATTCTCGGTCAATGCCATCTTGGATAATGAGCAGTAACTTGCAATTCAAGAACAGGGTAGGTTTGCCAAGAAGGAACGGTGATTACAATCAATTAAGAGTGATGACAAAGCATCAACAATAACCCAGCCTAAGTGTGTGTGTGTGTGTGTGTGTGTGTGTGTGTGTGTGTGTGTGTGAGAGAGAGAGAGAGAGAGATAAAGAGCTTGTGTTTTATTCACACATCCTTCCAAACAACCCTGTTTTGTGTAATCAACATCTGTTGTGACAGGCAACCTCCTTCTTTCTCAGAATGGCCCACTTCAGATAATGAGTGTCATACCAAACTGCAGGGCAAAGGCTGATTTTGCTTCTCTCTCCTCCTCCTCGACGGCCTCCGTTCTCACTTCCCTTGGTTCTCTCTCCTATCATCCAACGCATCCACTGTGGAGATCTTGAAAAAGGGAGATAAATGCTCTCACAATATTGTCTGTGCTCAAAATGTGGGGGCGGCGGATGGAATGCAGTATACTTTCTTCCCTGCTTATTGAGGATAGAGACTTTAGTGCAGCTACCTATAAAACGCAAGAATCTTGGTTTTCTTTTGAGATTTTGTGTGGCTTCCCTGACAGTTTGTCCTAGTTAATTCTGAACCACTTTCCCTGGCGAATATAACACTTGATGTGCAAGCCACAGACTCAGGGGGAGAAAAAGATGCTTCAAAATAAATTTAAAAATGACCTGTTTCTTTGCATGCATACTAATGGTTTAGGCGCCATCTTCTGGTAAATTTGGTCAATTTGAAACAAACATAGAGGCTCAAACTTTATGCGTTTTTAGTTAGCCAAGAATATGTTGTGGTACTGAATCAAAAACAATCAAAAAATGCATACAGTTTAGTAATTCATTCCACACAGAGTGAAATATGTTAATGTTTCACTGAAGCTGATCTTAATTTATTTTCAGATAAAATGTGAGTCTTAAATAACAGCAATAAAAAAGCGTGGTGTTTTAACACAAAAATGCTATGTTATGTCTATGCTGTGGCCTAAAGTGATGGGGAAACTACTGACCTGATCTTTTGTGAGACTTTCTGCTGACAGCAAATGTAACACATACAAGATTATTGCCAAAAATGTCAGCTTGGAAAATTATTGTATCCAAGCATGTTACTGGAAAGCTGAGTGGAAGGAAAATATGTAGACTAGCCAAAACAGATAATCGCAATCCAAAGCATGGACTGTGGCTGAAGTCAGAGCTACAAGACATTTAACAGCTTCAACACAGAGATTTATCAAGGCCAAGGCTGCAACTGTTGCATTGCTTGCGATTAGCCACTACTAAACCAGATACATTGAAGTTTTACAGTCAGTCATTATTTGAGGGGCTATTTCATTTGCATGAGCTGATCGACTCATGTCAATTTTTTAAGTTAAAAATCCTTTCTTTAAAAGTTTTATGAGATATTCAAATTTTCTGACAAGCTTTTTTGAAACAACAGTGCATGCACACACTCATTCCCAAGGTTTAGAGAGACCAATTAACCTAACATTCAGGCTTTTGAACTGTGGGAGGAAGGCGGTGAAACCTGGACAGAATGCGTACTAAGAACAATCGGTGGAACTTTATGTCTTAAGGCCTTGATTGGACTCAAACCCAAAGCCTTTGGTTGCAGGGCAGTGCTGCCAACACCTGTGTCACTGCATAGTCTTAAATATATTTCAAATGAAGCTTTGTTGCATTAGGTTATATTCAGAAGCATAGCAACCCAGAAAGAAATGTTCTGTAGGAATAGTTAGAAACAACCCTGAGAGATTATTCTAGTCATGAAATAAAGTCATTTGTACCAAGAACAAAAAGTACATGTTTCACCTTAGCTCCAACAGTCATATTCTGCAAATTGATACTGACAAGTGAAATGATTGCAACTACATTTCAATTCAGAATTGCTGATGCATATTTTCCAGTAATATTACCAAACTTTAGACTTATCTCAAATTATAAACATTTTTGTCCAGAGCTTCCTGTCTGTAGTGTGGAGCTAATTATGCTTGAGGTTATTTAAATAGGTGATTCAGAATAGTTTTCTCATCAAAACCTTAAGTGTTACATGGCTAAAAACAGCTGTAGCTTTGGTGCCACGAAGAGTGATTTCATACTGAATGGGAATAAAAGAAGATATAATCACATCTCATTTAATGAGTAAACCCTATTTATTTATTACATGTTGTAATAACGGGTTCACTCAGTGATGCAAATTATTTGCAGAGCATGCACACTTTTGCATGCATTACAGTTCATTGCATTATAGGTATAATGCTAGGATTAAAGTATTTTACTATAGGTGGTATGATTCCAATCTAATTTAGTAGTATTTGGTAGTATGTTTTCCCTGTTATTCACATGACAAAATATATTAGCTGGGGTTCTACTGACAGCGGTAATTATTACAGTGAAATGTGTCTCCAAAAACCCAGAGGAAGTGTTGAAACAACCTATTAAGACCCTGTTTTGGTAGCATTTTGAGACACATTATGAAGATAAAGAAACCTATAACACTTATAAACTTCCTATTAAAAGTTATTTGGTTTGTCCAATTATGTCAGCAATCTAAATAACTTAGGCCAATGTCAAATCCAGTTAACTTGATGTACTGTCTCCTTTTGGTTGCAAAATATGCTTTTCTTATACTTATTTTTGTATCCCAACTTTACATGCATTTTTTTGTCCTGGTTAAATCCAGCCTTGAATTCTTTTCTTAATCTTTTGAGTTTTTTCCTAATTGTTTTAAGCCATTATTCAACTTTCGTTTCTCTGAAGAACATTGTTATGTTTTACGCATTATTTTTTTTTTCTCTCCTTTGTATTTGATCTGTCAATTTTCTAACTTTCAGAACACAACAAACAAGCCCTAAATTACCCTGTCTAAGTTCAACATGGATAATCATAAAAGCAATTCAACATCATTTCTGTTTGTGAAATGATGGTAAATTGATGAATTGAATTCATTCAGAACTGAAGTACTGAGCAGAAATGATGATTTTCTGACGTGAATTGTGGAATGTTTTCCATTTCTTTTTGCTCTTTGACATCATCCTGTATGCATAACAGGAGTCTATTGTAGGTGGGGTAAAATATATGTGAAGGATTGACCAAAACTGCCTTCACATTTACACATGTTATAAAATCACAGCCTTAAAAAAAAAATCAGTTTTTTAAGGGAGAAAACGATTCAAATCAGCCTGCCCCTGTGTGAAAAAGAAATTGCTCCCATTCTTAAATAATGAATGAACTCTGATTAAACTACATTTTTTATAAAGGTAAGTTCACATTCACTATTCCAACCAAGGCCTAATTATTACCTGACCTGCAGATATAATAATAATAATAATAATAATAATAATAATAATAATAATAATAATAATAATAATAATAATAATAATAATAACTTTCTTTTTGAAAACTTTCAAATAAAGTGCTGAACTCTTAGAAGAAAACATAAAATAAAAACAGATTAAAACAATACCATTTAAAAACAGATAAAACACAAAGGAACACCAATAACAACCAGTAAGATTTTAGGCAGCTACATCCATCAGTCCAGAAAAGGTTACAAAATGATTAGGCTGCGTTCATACTGCAGCCAGAAGTGACCCAATTCTGATTTTTTTTTTTTTTTTTTGATCTAATGCAACTTGTATCTGATCTTTTCATGACAGTCTGAACAACACAGGAGGACTACATGCAACCAAAGTGAGAACTGGAGAAAATGAGAAAACATACAGCAATGGCAAATCTAAAACCCTTTTGATAATCCTGAGTTTGGCTGAATTAAAAAAAAAAAAAAAACTTCTGCAAATGAGAGTGTTGTTGCCACCCTTGTTCAAAGTATTGTTTTGTTGTGATGTTAGACATTCACCACAAGTTTTGCATTGCATATCATTAGGGCAGCACGGACATTAATTATTTTTTAGCATTTTTTTGTATAATACAGTATACATGTCACTTTAATGATAAATGTCCAAAATCTACTTACCTTGGTCTCGTGTTCTTTATATTTCAAAACTCTAAAAATTTATAACAGGACTATTGAATTTATTATACGTTGTTGATTTCTGTGAGGAGAAAATGCAAAAGCATACACCAGAGGGCGCTTGTGAGCTATGACAAACGCGAGTCCTTTTTTAAATAAACTACTTGAGGAACTTATTGTCTTTGCATACTTTTAAATATTTTTAGATTTTTATTTATTCTTAATTCATTTTGCAACACGCTTTTATCTTTCGCGTTCTGAAAGCTTTTGAATCGAGCGGTATCATAATCCAGTAGCTTATTTCTAAACCAGAATGCAAAATTTCGGGTTATTTTGAATACACTGGAAGTGCAAGGTGGAACTGCTTAATAAACCAAAAAGGATATGTTGAGATGACCTAACCAGCCCCTTCTGTCGGCTGTGCTTCCGTATTTACACACCCACCAAATAAAACACACACACACACACACACGCAGGACAGGGCTCACTAGCGGCGGTCGGGTGAATGTTTACCGAACAAGCATAGAGTGGTGGTGCGGAAAGTGACAGTCACACTGGAGCCTTGGTGTATGGTGAAACACAGGTGATTTCTGCTTCCACGGTTGCATTTTACAGCGGAATGTTCACTCGAAGGGGGCATGGGGACGTCAAGAAATCTACACAGAAAGTTCTGGACCCAAAGAAGGATGTTTTGACCCGACTGAAGCACCTGCGGGCGCTGATAGGTGAGTGAAAAGTCACCGGCGGTTGTTCCTGGATGCTGCATCGTCGAGGCTTAGCTGCAGGAGCTAACGTCAAACACGGTATCAGGTTAGCTGTCTGCCTATCTGAGCGGCTACTAATTACAGCTACCTGACGACTAAGACACGCATTATCGGCGTGGAAATTAAAAAAAAAAAAACACACTGGGCTGTTGAAACGCGCTCTTACTAATGTTTGCATTTTTAGATTTCACAAGGCTTTCTTAAAAACAACAACAGCAACAACAAGTCTCAATGTGATGCGGATGGAAGCTAGCTAATATGAGCTAGCTTCCTGGCTGCTAACTAGCCAGCCAATATTGCTAGCTGATGTTGCCGAGCATCAATATGCATTATTACCGCCAGTCTTTATTATATATTCCTGAGTCATTGTTACTGTTAAAAATAAATAAATAAATAAACCAATGAATGAATATAAAATCAGACATTTAAAAATAAACCTTGAATATAAGAAAGCAGATCCTGTAGACTATGGGGTTTGAATTCCCTATACTCTATATCATTATTTGAAAAATAATGCGTGACGTACACGTTTATCACATTGGTTCGATCTGTTTATTAACAAGGAAGTGCAGGTTTTATGACATAATAGTAGCTATTGTGCTCTCCTTGTCCTACAATATAATAATTTAAAGAGACAAGGTTTTATCTGTTGTTGCCACACTTGTTCAAAGTATTGTTTTGTTTAAAAAAAAATAAAAAATTTGTTGAATACAGTAAACCTTAATATATACAATTATATTCAAATTCAAAACTATTTAATTTATCCCAAAAGGGGGTTAAATGTTGTCATAACTCACACTATTGAAGTATGGCCAGAGTGGCTCATGATGTTGTAGGTAGGAAAGATCTCCAGTAGCAGTCAATCTTGCAACAAATCTGAAGTGGTTTCTGACTGAAGACTGTTGCTGCATGACTCTTAACTGCCATGACATGCTAACGGCACAACATCCAGGCAGCAGAGACGATATTACACGCTAACATGTCCTGGATGACAGCATCAGTTGTTGGCAATCACTGCTAATCCACCTCATTTGCTTTTGCTGATCCACTTTAAATCTCTGTCTGGCCGCATGGCTAGAATGCTAAAAATTTGCAGTCAGGAATATGATCCTTGCCCGTTGTGATCAATGTGAGGGATGGTTTGATCTTCTTCACCACTAATACCAGCTTGAACCACTGATATGTCAATGCTTTTGTGTTGTTTACACCAAATTCTGCCCCTACCATCTAAATGCTGTTGGAATCGAGACCAATTACAGCAGACAATACTTTTCCTATCTTTTATTGTCTAATTTTGGGAAGCATGCATGAATCAGCCCTAGTTTCCTGTGCTTAGCTGACAGGAGAGGCACCTGGTGTGGTCTTTTGTTGCTTCTACTTCACGTTGTGTGTTCAGAGATGTTGTAATACGTCTTGTTTGGGTATTTGAGTTACTGTTTCCTTTTGATCATCTCAGACCGGTCTACTTGTTTTCATGTGAACTCAGACACCAAAAAATAATTATGCCCAGTAAGAATACGCTCTTACTGGGCATATTCTTGTTTTCGGTTCACTCTGTAAATTATTATAATGTTTTTTTCCCTAACATTGCTTTTGCAATTTTATATATAGACTAAGCAAATGAAAGTTTCATCACATCCACTAAATTTTGTAGTTTTACAATTATTGCATAGTATATTATAACTTATTTACACTGCTCTCTATAGAATTTCTGCTTGTTTAGCAAGTCTGGAGTCAGCTTTTAGCAGAGATGTTCTAGTGACTCACCGACTGCTAAAATATCTCCAAACAGACAAATTAGTCTTTTTTTAATATATGGTACATATTACACATTATCCCTGTTAATGCAGCGAAAGATACAATAGTGGCACTCTAAACTGCTAAACTGTAGGAGCTGTGTAGTGAGAGTATTTTAGCAGTTTTAAAGAATAACCTTTTAAATTTTTTTTGTAAATCTCTGTGGCCAAAATGATGGGGACTTGTTGATGATAACATGTAGTCTTATTTATACTGGGCTTATAGTGTCAGCACCAACCTTGCTGCTGATTTTTGGGGAACAACATCTTGGTCTTATTCTTTGGCCAGCAAACATACTTCTTAACAAAACTGGCAAAATTCACTGTCCTACAGCATAAGTGAATATATGAACATTGTGCAAAAAAAAAAATCAATGTTATTGTTGCAGACCATATAAAAAAATACACCATCTTGCATAATATTCATAAATGATCTTATTGTATCACAGCAGAATGTACTGCTGCATAATTATTTTATGCATCATGTGGCTGTAAATGGGAATTCTAAATATTAAACAGACTTGTTGGAAGAGCGTAAATATGGTATTAATTCCTGAATTAAGTGTTTCATTGAAGAACACAAAGAAGTTTCATTGTGTCATAATGAATGTTTTCTATTTGTCATCTGACCTATATTAAAAGTTCTAACTTAAAGTTTTTATTCTCGCTTCTGCATTTAATGTTGTGGATATACAATTTTGTTTTTAAAATGTAATTGATACACTCACGGTACAAATAATTTTTTTTTTTTTACACATCCTGGTGAAAAAAGAGTAATTTGCTGGAGGATAATGTGCATTTGAGATGTTTGGGATTGGAACATTTGTTGACGTATACATGTTTAATTGTGACCTTCACATGGGGACATGTCCTCTGTTTCATTGATTTCTTGTACAGTGGAACGACAGTGACAGCCATTTTCTGCTTTATGGTGCTTTAGAAACTTGGATTAAACTTTGGAAAAGTTAACTTAATGGGACTTGTCAGCTACAGGAGCATAAACGTAGTCAATGTCAAGACTAGTGCGAATGACGTGAAGGTCTACACAGATTGCTGCTCGTCCCCGAGTGTTTTTCTTTCCCTCCATGTGCGGCTAAAGATAAAGTTGGTGTGTTTTTCCAGCTGACGACGGTACATGCTGATGTGTCCCAAACTTGCTGATTTGACTATGCTTTCAGCTAAGGAAGGATTTCCTCCTGTTCATGTTGGATCCTGTGTGGCCAGGAAGTGGTGATTAGAGATGGGGTGTTACAGAGGAGAGGACAGGGACTTGGAAAGGAAGGGTGAAGGACAGAAAAAAAAAAAAAACAGCTGTCCTTTCATTTCTAGAAGTTTTATCTTTTTAAGATAATTCTGTTCATTATGCTGATTTAAAAAAAAAGAGCATTTGTACTTAAGCCCAATTTACTGCTCATTTTTGATTGTTAGATGCAAGCGTTGCCATTCCTAAAACAATTTCAAAGCAGTGTCGATAACAAGTATTAGTTACATGTTTATTTATATTTTATTCTAAAAATGGCATGTCGATTTTTTTTTATGGCCTTATCATAAATCAATGGAGACATCTTTGTGTTACAGTAGTCTAACCATTCCCATAATTGCAGACCAACATTTTTTATGTTTCCGCTGGTATTTTGATGAGTTCTGTGTCTGTGAGCAACCCTAATTTTCTCCACCGAATGTTATTCATATTGAAGTCTGGGTTCTGACTGGACAGCTTCAAAAATGTTTGATTTCCAGTCAGATGAAACTTCTTGGTAAAAGGGAAAGATTTTCACATCTAAATCTGCCAGTAGCATGGACAATTTTGGACTTTATTTTATATGATTGTGTTTTGGGTTTGAAGTTTTTCCACAATGTTTTTATTGACTAGACATGTTTTTAAAATTTGCCCCTTTCTTCAGGAAGGGGAAGTTGTTGTAGCTTTGTTTCAGCCAGCAAACCAGCAGTGTGCAGCAACCCATTTAGGAAGGCAATGCGCCTTTCCTTGCATATTTCATTCAGTAACAGATAGTTCTGGTTACTCCATCACTTTCTCTGGCATCTCAATATGAGGACTTAAAACTTTAAAATATTAGAGGTTGGAAACTGTAACTTTAAAACTTGAGTATATGCCGACATCAGTTACTGGCCTGTGAGTAGAGATGATTCATGCTAACCTCTTTAACGTGCTGCGTCACTGACTTGGAAAATTCTACAAACATGTCTTTTATAGACAACATGAATAAAGCAGAAGCTGCCACTGTTGTAAAATACCATTAATTACTGCTAAAGTTACTGTTAAAGCTTCTGTTAAGCTGTAAATGTTGTGCTGTGTCTGCGTTGGAAAGCTTTGTAACAGTTCCCAGTTATTTCTTAATCAAGAAATCAGACTGTAGTATCAACAGGCCAGGCTATTTTCAGACTGTTTTTGCTCACTGAACGGATCTGTGGGATACTGTGTGAAAGCTGCTGCATGTTAATTCGTCGGTCATGCCTGGCTGCTTTTGGCTGAGGTTGTTAATTACAGCAGGCCAACCAACCACCTGATCGCTCACTGCTCCACTCACTGGTGGCACACAGGGGGCTTTTCCTGCGTATTCTTTCCAGTTCCTTTTCTGTGGTGGTTGCTCTCCTCCTTGGTCCAAACCTGCTCTTTATTCCATGATGCCTGGCCGGGTCCAGTTTGTTGCAAAAAGAGAACTTTAAAGGAAGGTTTAAGAAGTGGTGGAAAATCATTTCAGTAAATACTTGTGAGGGAGGATATTTCTCTCTTTTTTTTTTCCCCACCTCTGGTTTGACTAAAACCAGAAGTGGCTTCTTTTGCTGGTGTAAACAAGCTCAACTGCTGATGGGAACAACAATGCAGGTGTACCAAGTGTTACTAGTGATAACCGGTGTGTTGTAGTTTAAGTTTGCACTCTCATTTTAACTTGTATTATAGATGACTCTGATCTGCATTTTAATTACAGAAAGTAAACGACGTGTCTGATACCTTACCTTCCTTTATTGTGGGCTTTGAGTGTTGTTGGGGTCAATTGAAAGTGCTGTTGTTATTAGAGGAAATCTAATCTTCTAGTTTTGACTACAAAACTAGAAGGGCCCTCGAGAAGGTCCTCTCTCTGTGAGGCTGAGGTAAACGCTTCATCACTCAGCTTCTAATTCTCCCCTTTTTGTTAAACACTT